CCCTCATCATATAACCTGCAGTACTGCCAGGGGACCCATGTGTCCCCATCCTGTCAGGGCTTCCACACCCAATTACTGATGCTTTCCATTTTCTTTTTCCCCACAAGGCAGGAACAGAGGAACATGAGGACCCTTCTGCTTGTTCTCTCTAGACTTCCCACGTAAACCAACACTAACTCATGACCTCTTGTAACCCAGGCAGCTAATAACTTTGCAGGCCCAGGAATGAACAACAGAAGATCAATGACCAGCTAAACCAGCTGATGTCCTGTATCAATCCCACATTGTAACTCTGACACACATTTTAACTCTGGGTAAGTGAGATATTGAGCTCTGTCACATCTGCAAAAGTTGTCACAGTGCTTTAAATAACGTGAACCACCACATGAACCACCACCACCAGGTGCTAATAAGTGGGGTAAAGGAGAAATAGCACTTTAAAAGACACAATAAAAACAAATCCTTTTAAGAAATTTAGAGGAATGCATCATTTTCACTAAAAATATACTAATTATTTCCCCAATACTTTACTATCTGAAAAGGATAGTTAATCAAAGCACATGTCCTGGTATGAAGTACAAATCCAAGCTTCTCTAAAAGCAGACATTATAAGATGACTTCATTCAATATGCAAAATAAAAATGAAATAATCTCCAGGTGAAACCTGGAGAAATCAGGAGACGTCAGGAATGGAGATAGCACGAGTTATTTTGGTGACCACTTAATCCAAATCAGTCTAACCATATCCTATTGTGGAAACAGCCTCCTATCTGGCCTTTTCGTCGGTGTAGCATACATTCTTCCAAAATCGCAATGGTACCATTGCTCAGCATCTGCATCTGTCTTTCAGTAGCAGAGCCTTGATCACATTCTCCTTCATTATTTTATAACTAGGGGTCTTTGCAAGAATGAAGTTAAACAGCTTTTTAAGAAAACAAAAAAATCAAGTCCTTTTTTTTGCCATGATGGATAGCAATACAATATTTTTTCCTCCTCAGAGCCTCCTGAACACCTCTGCAGTCAATTAATCATCTTTCCAATAACAGATCTAAGACCAGATTCAAGACCAAAACCAGCAATGAGATCTAAGACTTACACCTTGAAGAGGTTGTGAATCTAATCTCACTCTGAAGGTTAGAAATAAATATTGCTTGCTATGACTACAACAAACAGTTCTTTAATTCCTAGTCCATCCAGAAGGCAGTAAGGCATGCAAGCAGTAAGGCATGCAAAGATAATCTTCCACAGGAGATATCTGGGTTTTTAAGAAACTGTGTCTTTAAGAAACCAGCTGATTAAGGACAATTCCTGCCTCTGCAGATGTCAAAGAGGTCCTGGGGCTTGATGCCTCCCATGCTGCTGGAACTCTTCTCTTCCTCAGCTCAAACGGACACTGTACCAGCACGAGCCCCAGCTCACCATCACCACAGGATTTGTCTATCACACGGCGCTCCTAGGTTTTAGGTGGAACACATCATCACCATATTCCTTCTAATTCCCTGTTAGTTTCCAGATGCACAGAGTTTGTGGCAGGTATACATTGATTATTGAAGGACCACAGGTAGATGACTACATATAGATCTACCTGGTTATAAATCAGATTAACCTTCTTTGCCTTAGCTATGTCCCAGGCTTTTTCATAAAAAGAAAAGTCACACTACAATACCTTGTGTATCTGGGATTTTGGGAATGAAAGGGATTCTCATGTCAAGGCCCTTTACTAATTGCCTATAATGACAGCATTTCCTATGTTAGAAGGTCTCACTAACCCCTTTCTGTGAGCAATCAGCAGAAATTTAGATTCCCTTCACTTTCTCACATAGTCTTTGATCAAACTGGAAATATATATACATATTTATTCTAAATATAGTTGCCTTGAATTTTTATTTCAATTCACTTCATTTGCATTTAAATCTGGCTCTGAATGTCCCTTGGAGACATATGCAGTGACAGTGTGACGGAAGGAAACACCTCTGCTTGTCTGAACATCTGCTAGATGTGAGTAAAGAAAAACCAGAGAAAGTTCAAATTACCCTTCTTAAAAATATGACAGATATGAGTAAGAGGTACCACTCATGAGACACCTCTATGGAGTAAACATCTTGGAATAATATTCCAGGCAACAACTACAGAGACTCTAACAACAGATCCACCAGCCATTTATTACATTTCAAACAAAGTGACTCAAAGGAAAATGTTCCAAACAAGCACCACTGGGCATTTGACTCAGCCCAAGCAATCCTTAACTATTGCTCAGCCAAGAAGAGTGTGTGACTTCTCTAAACCATGTCCTGGTAGCCACTTTTGAATAAATGAACAGCACATTTGACCCCCTTTTTTTTCCCCTAACCTTTTAAAAGGAGAAGCCATTGCAGGGTTCTGCTGTTTCCTTGCAGTGCATAATGCCAGGTTCAAATAATTGCTTAGATCATTACAAACATTTTCTCCTCCTTAAATAACACCAGTTCCTTGGGCTAGCTGAAGGCCTAAAATCTGTTTTTAATTTAAATATAAATAATATCCTGAGTGACTGCATGATTGTTCTAAAAATAGATTGTTTTCCATCCTAAATACTTTGGTGATCCTAAGTAGAATTGGGGCTAGCAAGGGGAAGGATATACAGGTCTGTTTCAGGGTGCCTTATGCCTGTGTCATGCTGACCCTGGAGAGAGTGGTGATGTCGGAGAGACTAGAAGCTTATCTAGAAGTGTATTTATGATACTTCAGTACCAACAAGTCTATTCAGAATGTGGTCAGAAATCACAGTGGGAAATCCCACACTGTTAAGACTAAACATTCATGAGTGAGCCTCAGTTATGACAAATTCAGCAGCAGAGACTGTGGTCAGTGCGGTTACCAAAATTTTCCAAAAACAACAACAACAAAAACAACCAAACAAGCTGCTACAGGAAGAAATTCATACCTTCATGATTTATAATAGTAGGAGTTGGTCCATAACGCAGGATAAACCTAGTGAACCCACAGTCATAGTCCACCCATGGCCTTCAATATTGCCTTCATTGCCTTAGCTCATTCTAAAAGTGGTCCATAAAAATCTGGATGGACCTTCTTTGATCACAGGAGTGTGCAATATTCAGCAACATCTTTTGTGTTAAAGGTTGCTGCTGTGCTTCAGTGTGAGTTAGCATCAACAGGGAAAAGTATAGGGAGTATATTTACAGAGGGCTGCTACTACCTGGCAGCAGACAGGTAGAAAAAAAATTACCCCTCCAAAATCAATGTTTGCTTTATGGAGAGGGCCTCCTTAGGTGTATACTGGAAACAATTCTGTCTGTTTTGCACCACAGTTAAGTCTCCCTACAGTTCAGTGTGCCAGTCAGTAGTAGTTAGCAGTCCAGAATCAACAGGTTTCTGCTGTTGAGCAGTACCAGACCCTATGGCCAAAAGCAGATGGAAAATATTATATGTGACACAGCGTCTAATGAATGATTATAATAAACAAAAACGGTAGTGGGGACCAGTGGGGATCTTGGCTCCTTTTCATCCTGCTTGTGAAATGATATAGCAGTCAGCATCACTGATGTGACAAATATTTTTAGAAGCAGGCTCTTCCCATCTAGCACTAGCCAGCCTTCTTCTTACTCCTTCTCATCTCCTAATCTCAGCCCAAGAGGTCACATCTGACCCTGCTTCTTTAGTCACTGGCCCTGTGGATTCATTTGATCCTGTGAAAACTAGCTATAAAACACAATTACTGAGAACTCTCAATTAATTTCCTTTCATAGGAACAACCTTACCCCTACTGTTCAAAATTATGACTGGTCATTCAGTGCTTTCTGATCAGCTTTCTGATCATCCTCTCTACGTATAGTGCTCAGTGTGTTGGTCTCTGCAAGGGAATTTTTTCGCTCTGAGTAGCTCCCAGTCCAGAAACTTGGTGTTTGGTAAACATTCTGATTTAAAACTAAAGCTATCTTCTCTTCATCATTTAAAATCTTCTCTTCATCATGTAAAATAACAGTGACTCTTACATAAGTCTTACATAATCATTCTAATGGGTTCCAAGTGCCAATGGAAAAGCATTATTAAAATCCTTGCTGTAGGGTTCCAGGTTTCCTTATTACATTAGCGGAGCGACGCTTTCAGAACCATGAACTCTGCTGTATCATGGTTACTGCTTGACTTTTCAATTATCAGATAGAAAATGTTTCTCAAAGATACTTCTGTAACGAAGCAATTCAGACAAGCAGAGCAATCCCAATGGCGAGCAGAATGGCATGAATTGGCAAGGTGCTTGAGAAACAGTTTAAATATGTCAGAGGTGGGATGTTCTCTGCTGCCGGCAGAGAAAAAATTGGTGCAATTATGCACCATTGTTAACCATAAGCATGCATGGAAAGAAATATATAGCTTTCTATACAATGTAGTTCATGAAACCAAGCAGAACAGGGCAATGAAAGTAAATACTGGTTGTGACTGCTGCAATTGCATCAAAAGAAAATATTAGCTTGCTACCTAAAAGCTTTTTTGCTAGCATTAGTTTTTTAGTCCTCAAGCCTTCTCTAGAGCTAGTGAATATGTGCTCACTATAGTCTGAATGAAGTCAATGAGACTCTACTTTTGTACAAATCTGTCCTCAGGCCGGCTGAATTGCAGGATCAGGCTAAAAGAAAGTGTTAGTGCCAGTAAAGTTCAGTGCAGGAAACATAATGTCTTGAGTCACATATGAAACATAATGCAACATAAATGTCTTGAGTGAAGAATAATCCAAGAACTGCAGGTTGCCTTTTAGTGATATCTTCCTCCATTATAAAGAAGTCCTCTCTTAAAATGTACCACCAAAGAAGCAAAAACACGCCCCTGTAGACAGAGATGCTTCACTGATTAAATAGTTAATTCATCTTCTGCCCACTGTGGCCACTGCACACCCCTTCAGTGCTCTGCAAGAGCTGCTGCTAACAAACCACACACACTTCAGGGCTTGACTTCTTGCAGGTTTGCCAGGTCCTCCAGGGTTGCATTTACACACTTGGCATATACTTCAATGAGACACACCGGAGCAGGCAGCTATGTAGTCGTTTTGCTCCTGAAGAACAACAGAAAGGTTATGTTGCAGATCTTATCCTATCATAGCCCCTTATCCAACCCACACTCAAATCTTACTAAAAAAATCCGTATCGTATAGCTCTGATAACTATTTTTAGTTGTCATGATTACATCCTGAATAGAATGTGAAATGTGCTTTTCCACATAATTTACTGTTTTCCTGTGATTCATGAAACCACTTTTTTGCATGAATAATTGGTCAGTTCTTGTTTATATATCTCCATGGCACTCAGCAGACCCCCCCCCACAAACACACTCCAAAAAAAGACACAAAGCTGACATTTAAGCATCACATCCCCACAAAAGATAACACCCCCTTCCCTCAGATTCCATTCTTTTTTCCATACCCCCAGAAAGTGCAGAATTTCTCACACTGTAAATGTTTCCTAAAAAGATTCTGACAGTTTTACCTTTTGTAACACTCATTAGCAAATTATTTTGCTTCATGCTTGTTTTGTGCTTCACATTTTCCAATTAAAAAAAAAAGCAAACAAAAATTGCCTTGTGAATGATTTGAGATGACAGAGAAGGAGGAATGCTTTGGGTACACTGCTGTCCAGAATGGCTTCTTTCCAAAAACAAATATGTTTATTTTTGGGGGGAGATGGTCACAGTTCTGCTTATCAATAGTCATCTGAATTAGAAAGCATATTAGAAAGCATACCAGCTTGTTCCCAGAATACTGTTCCAGCCTTGGAACGCTTTAGGGATCACCAAGGGGCACATGGTGATCTTTTTGCAGTAAAGTAAACTGAGACATAATTTAATTTGCTTACAAGGCCACTCACTGAGTCACTGCTCAACTGACTTTGACTCTTTGATACCTAGAGCTTCTATTCTGCCTCCAGCTACAGTTCCCCAAACAGACTGCACGATGAGCTGACATCTACCATAGATATGTATTGGTTTATGTGTGTGTATATCTAACACTTCCTGACTTTAAATCTGAGGGCAAAATTGTGAAGTATTTTGACAGTAAATGAAAAAGAAATTAAACAAACAATTTTATTTATTCTTGAAAGAATTGTACTGTGTTGATCCAAAAAAGTGTCAGAAAACAGAAGTTAACAGGAACAGTTAAGAACATTGGAAAAAACATCTTGGCTTAATATCAACGATCAATCTCATCTAGTAGGCTGTCTCTAGTGGTGGCCAAAACCAATACAAAAAATGAATGCAAAAGAAAAATAAAATGTTTGTTACAGGGACAAGGACATTAATCTGCTTTTTACCACAAACCCAAAGCAACATCAGGTTTTAAAACTGGGAGGGAAAAAAAGCAAAAAGCAGAGTGTTTTTTACCTCACATAGATGTGAGTCAAAACCAAAGCCTCAAAATCTGATCATATTAAAAAAAAAAAAAAAAAAAAAGAGGGGAGAGACAAGCTGTTTTCTTTTTTTTGGCAATGAGTAGAGACAGGAGGGAGTGAAACTCTGGCAAGCGGTAGAGGTTAGGGCAGTAGGAGGGGAGAAAAGACAAAGGAGAGAGAAAAACAGCTGCTTTGAGTCTAATCTCATGATTCAAACACACCTTAGCAGCACCAGTTGAAAAGCAGAAAGAACTTCTGGGCCTCAATCAAGATTGCAGAAATAACTCAATTTTTTGCTGGACCATAATGTAATGAGAAGGCCTGTGATAATTTGATATTCTGAAACTAGAACCTTAAAACTGATTTGGACCAGAGCTACTAGAGTTGGTTTGAAAATGTTTTACTTCTTCCTGTGGAAAAAAAGCCCCCAAAATGGAAAAAAGATTCAGCCAAACCCAAAGTGCCCAGACTCATTACATGCTCAGGAAATCAACTCTATTTAAATCTCTTTCAACACTGCTGTCCAACTTTAATAGTGTGTGTGTGTGTGTGTGTGTGTGTAAGAAACTGTTAGACAAGTTCATTCTCTCCTTCTGGTTTCCCTCTCTCTCCCACTCTAACCTCAACTCTTTTTCTCTAAATGGTCACTGTTTGCATTTTTCTTTCTGGTGAGTCTTCTTAAGAAATTTTTTCTCATTAACCACTGTTTTCATTCTTTTTAGCATCACTCACTCAACTGCCTCTGTCTGTGATCCTCATTATTCCACCCTTCCAACGGGGTGTTTAGTTCAGTCCTGACTTCGGTGACTTTGTGACAAATTTGGGATTGGCTCTGAATGTCACTGCTTCCTCTTTTCTTGGCTGCCTCACTCCTCCACTCCCCCAATCCTCCTTATTGTCTTGCCCTCTCATCCAGTCTTCTAACTCTTGGAATGCAGTAAATGTTTTTATGACACCAGCATCTAAAGTGCTAAATGAATGCACCCAACCTTCTGCCACAATCTTACCTTACGCTGCTGGGACTCCCCTAAGCAAGTGTACCCTTAGGAAAGTAGAACTTCTCTATCCCATGTCCATTCTTTCCTATCCTCTGAACACCAGTTTCTTTCACTAGATTATTTTCTCTTCCCCTGCTCTGATGTGGTATTATGCTTCTAGCTCTTGTTAAAAATTGCCAAGTTATAAGATAAGGAAAGATCTCCAGGAGATTTGCAGATTATTCTGGCCTCATTTACATCATTGGAGTGGGCCACTTAGACAAGTTCTGTCACTGTAAGTCCAATTTCAGGTTTGAATTCTATCTATGCATGTTGTTTGCATTTACTATTATTATAAAATGTTTACATAATAGAATGTAGACTGAATAGAATGACTGAGATTGGAAGACACCTCTAGAGATCTCCTAGTCCAACCTCCCTGCTCAAGCAAGGACACCTAGAACATGTTGCACAGGATCACATCCAAGTAGATTTTAAATATCTCCAGAGGTCTTTTTTTAAAATTTATTTTTTATTTTGCTGATTATATCTAAGACTTTTGTAGGTTCAAGTGAGTATTTCATGTAGTTTCTGTATATACTTCTGATCCAAACCTGTCATCATTCTGTTGTGTGAAACCATCCATTTTCTTTCTCTTAATATACATCAGAGAAGCATAAACCATAGTACTGTAATCTTTGTTTGTTTATTTATTTATTTGGCATGTAGAGAATGTTTCTTCCCTTCAGTAGCAACAGTGTGGAGAAAATTAATTCAATTTAGTTTATAACTGCTGCTTCTCTCCACTGTCACCTATACGTATTGATCATCATGATCATAAGCACGTTCCCTCTGCCCTAACACATGGAACCTGAGCAAGTTTGAGGATGATACCAAGCTGGGTGGAGTGGCCAACCCTCCAGAAGGCTGTGCTGCCATTCAGAGGGACCTGGACAGGTTGGAGAGTTGGGCAGAGAGGAACCTCATGAGAAGAAAAGGCTGAGAAGGGATCTGATTAACATGTACAAATATCTGAGGGGAGAATGTATGGTGGAAGGGGCCAGACTCTTCTCAGTGGTGACCAGTGATAGGACAATTCGAAACAAAGGAAGTTCCATCTCCATATGGGGAAGAACTTCTTTACTGTGAGGGTGACAGAGCCCTGAAACAGGCTGCCCAGGGAGGTTGTGGAGTTTCCATCTCTGGAGGTCTTCAAAACCCACCTGGATGCCACCCTATGCCATGTGGTCTAGGTGTCCCTGCTTGAGCAGAGGCGTTGTCTTAGATGATCTCTAGAGGTCCCTTCCAACCTTAACCATTCTGTGATTCTATAAAATATGGAAAAAAGAAAAATGAAACATAAGAACACAAGAGTTAGATAACTGAGTTAGATACTTGCTGAAAGCCCTGGGTACGGACGCTCCAGGGGAGATTTTCTCCTGTTCCATATAATAATACATAAAAAAGAAATAATTTTTATTTATATGATATATTGACCCTGACCAATTTTTTTAAGATTCATCCTTGTTTTACTGAGATTTTTATCAAAAAACATCCAAGTGTAAACCTTGCAGATGGCTGCAGATTTGCAGAAGATACAGTATTTGAGAATGTCCACATCTTCCTTGTCAAGAAAAACTAACAGAGGGACATAGAAAAAGATGCTATTGTCGTCCAGAGTGATGATAAAATGAAGCAATTTGCACCTTTATGATGATAACTTTGCTGACATATCTAATTTTTTTTTTTTTTCCTAAGCTTTTCAGCAGGGGATACGATAGCGATGCTATCGATTCTGATGTATCGATGGAAAGGCAGCTTATTTCAGCAAATGTATGAAAATATACACTTAGCAGTAGTGTAGCAATGCTGAGACACAGATATAACCTCATCAAGATTTCAGTTCTTTCCCAGCTGAATGGGATGGGAATGAATGTATTTTTTTCTTAAAAAAAAAAAAAAAGAAATCTGCTCTTGAAAGAACTTCAAACCAACCCAATTTCTGCGTACATTTCTGACCACACAGAGCCCGGTATGTTATATCCGCTGCAGATGCAGTCACGAAATATCTGAGGAAGGATGAAATCTTGAGCTGAAAATAACCAACAGCAGAACTCTTGTTAACTTCCTTGGAAGTAGAATTGCACAATCACTGTTGAAATATGTAATCTATGTTCACAGTGAAAGAGCAGGATGCCTAAGTGATGGAATTTGTAAAATTATTGCAACAAAAATAAAGACTCGACTTGTATCGTGGCGATGGGCTATCAATTAGAAAATTTATATATGAAGATATGTTTGAAGTCTTAGCTAGTGTCCTAATTTAGTATTAGTAAAATAACTTTCAACTATTTTGCAAAGTTTATGCATCAAAAAATTCTTTTTCTCCATCCACTAAAGGTTAAAAAGCTTCTAACATTATACTATACAAGGAATCAGTTAAAACCAACTTCTAAATTCAAATTTCTTTGACATGTATGACAAGAAAACAAAATACTTGAATATCTTGAAAAAAGGAAATCTTGATGACCTGCAATCTGACAGTTAGCTACAATTGTTGCTATAGATTTATGGTCAAATTTGAAAAGAAATATCTGAAAATCTGTAGAATTTCATTGATAATCGTTCTTGAAGGAAACATATATTAAGAAATATCCTCTTTTTTATTAGCTTTAGCTGTCAACCTGTTTAAAAATGTCATCAGTAAAAAGCAGCATAGCCTGAGTGTTTATTCAATAATCCTTTCTTTGTGTATTATATTACTCATGCCAGACAATGGAAAACATCTAAAAAATGTTTATAAGCCTGAAATGTGAGGAATTATAGGCAACATAAACAAATGTGAATCTCTGACGCATATTAAAATAGTTATAATTACCCAGAGAGTATGTAAGACACGGATGCAATACCCATGCCATGTCTATCACAGGAAAAGATTGTCCTGAAAGGTGATGTAGTAAGTTTAAAACATACACTTTACGATAAACAAGATCAAAAGGAAAAGAAAAAAAGAAACATTTTTATTTTGACTTGCCAAATACCATTCTGTCATCAGTATCTACACTGTCACCGCTTTCAGGACATTATGGCATGTCTTTATAAAGTAATGCTAGCAATGCTTCCCACAGAAATGTAATTAATAACGTACCAAGTGTGTCTATCTGCAGCAAATGGCATAAAGCAAGACTGACCTTTCGCTCCGTCGAAGAGAGAGCTTGATGAGGGCATTTTTAGCTACTGCATCATTGTGGCAAGACTTCTTAGCTAATGCCTACAATTGGAAGTAAACACACCTCAGTTATTTCCTTTCACCAGTGAAATACACTTTCAAAGGCTATTACAAACCTCGAGCCAGAGTGCAACTCTGCTGATTTCTCCAGGAAACTAAACTTATTTGGGCCACATGTGGCCCTAGCTGCTATTCATGAAGAATTCTATTAATTTAATATAGGCTTTTTTTTAAAATTTTTCTTAGCTCCACTAACATTGACTCTTCGTCTTAGAATGATATTGTTGGACAGATCACAGAAAAAAAATGAGTATTTGAGTGGCCTGCTCCTAAAAGCACATGGACTTAAATTATACCCTGGTAAAAAGTGTTTCATAGATCACTATTTCTTTAGCACATTTATGACATATTGATGAAAAAAAGAGTGTTATCTTTTCAGACAACACTCAGAACTATCATGTATATATTTTTAACGACAATCTTGTGTACAGTTAATTGCTGTGGCAACAAAGCTTTCAGTATCTGAAGTACTTAATGCACATTACATAGTCCAGGCAGGTTAGCATGGGCTGCAAGGCTGCTGATGAAGCAGGGACATATAAACGGGAAGTTTGAACATGCTGGGCTCTGCTTTTTAACATCTACTGCACGGTTATCAGGAAAGTGACCTCCTGGAAGCTAGACTGGCTATAGCTATATTATAGCTATTATAGATTGAGTATATGGCTATAGTTTTATATATATAAACACTATGTATATTGACTATAGTTTCACTTTCAGATCCTGTTTTGTATTTGCACTGTCTGTTTGATATTGCATTGACATTGTACATGATCTGAAAGTGAGTGTAAATTATACTGGCTTCCAGTTTATGAATAATTTAGAGAAAGAAAGTGAAATCTTATCACAGACTCATTCCATCCAAGGGGAGAGGACCTAATTTGTAGCTCAAATCTTTGACCTTAAAAATAAAGAGTGGAGGAGAAGGATCTAGGGAGCTAAGAGGGAGTTTCAGTGTGAACAAGAATTAGGCCCTTTCAGGTCATGTCTACATGGATAACTACAGACAGTCAGGAATTAATATTGCCATTTACTGAGGAAGTCGGACATGAGGCAACATTTGACCAAAAGCCAATGTAAAGATGTACAAAATCTCAAAACATTAATACGACCTCAGCCTCTGGAGCAACTACAGCATTTTTTCTGTTTGGCCTTCCTATGATACAGAGAAGGAATTCAATGCCTTGTTAACAAAAATGTTATTTGTCAATGACATTTATAAAACAAAACAAATATTCAAGTATTCCCTCACTGATCTCAGTTTTGGAAAGTGTATAGAAAGTGTGTGACAAATGATTTCTTCTTTCTTAAAAACCTCTACATACATAGGTTCAGTGTTAACTTAGAATTCTGCAGTGAAAGCAACTAGGGAGACAGCAGAATCATATGGAAATATAACACAAATACTTAAAGACTGTATGATTCCATAGCACCCCAGATCCCACAAACTGCATTATCCTGTAGTTATGCAGAAATAATGTAAAATAAAATTAAGCTCTAAACCTCTGAGAAGAATGTGGAGGAGGAGGCGATTATTGCATATTGCAAAGCTTTCATACTGAATAGTTTTTTTCTGCTGGATTAACAGAATTTCTTCTCAGAGATTTGGGGTTTTGAATACAATCTGATTTTCTATGACTGGTTTAATTCTCTTTTATTGTCACCACTTTAAGTAGCAGACACTAAATCAGCAATTTTACTCAGAGTGTAGAGAGAAAGACTAAGGGATCTGTCAAAGCTAAAAAAGGAAAACAAAACTCACCCTTTACAGCTTTCTGTGATAATCACAATATTCAAGAACTGACACACAATGCTAATGGGAAAGATATACAGTAGTATAAATCTTATCCAGTGAAATCTTATTGTCATCGATCACCCATCAGAACCCATTAAACACCCATCACCCAAGAAAACGTCTGTAACAAGTGCTTTTGCATATTATTGCAATTTAAAATGTTAAATTCTTTAGAACAAAAATGCTGGCAATGCCCTAAGGCTCTAGGTTTTATTGCAGAACACTTTGCAGTCTTTCGCAGAAAGATATACTGTTCCATGTATGGTCCTAGAAATAAAAAAATCAGAAGGCTGAAGTCCATCTAGGAACCTATTCATATCACATCAATATGATTAAATGTAGAATGGAGATAGCAATATACAATCATCTTTATTTTGCACTAACTCTGTTTCTCAAATGAGTAACGTGCAAGTCAGTGCCATCCTAGCTGCAACTGACAAAGACAGGAAATACACTTGCTCGGGACCAACAAACAAAAGAAAGATTGCAATCTGCAGATAGGACCTGCAGATGAAAAATACTCCGATTCTCCATTACTGCAAAGCCTTGAAACAAAACAAGACTGACATATCTTACTTATCATACTTACAAAATTGAGTAACAAAGTGGGAAACACGGTCAAAAGAGAATCAAAATTATAAAGACTACCCTTTGGCTGTTCTCTCCAGGTAATGAATGCCGATTGGTCTGCTAGAAGAAATGGAATGTAATCAGTCAGACAAGATATGTATAAAAAGGAGACTGATTTTTCATTGATTAGTTGTGAGATGTCATTGTATAGTAAAACCTAGATTTACTTCTTCAGTGAACCTTTGCAGTCATGCAGAAGATGAAAGAATTCATTTTTTACTATAAAATTGAAGCATGTAAAAAGAAGGTTTAAATAAAACACCCTAATACACCTTAACATCCTAAACACACCAAACATCCTGTAATACCCATTTTATTTTGCAAAATACATTTTTACCACTTGGAATTTCTTTATTGATGCAAGAAAGGGCATTATGTATGAGGAGTAACCCCAATGTAAAAAAGTCCCAACTCTAACTACCAAATGCAAAGTGTATCTGCACTATAAAATGTCCATGAGGCCCAAACGAATCACAAGCCCACTACAAAAGATATCACTGTCGATTTATTTACATTCATGAGCATGAATAATATTTTTATTTCCCCTTATTTCATTCAGAACTCTAAACTAAGGCTCCAAATCTACAATCAGTAGAGTGTAGGCACACTGCCATTAGCAAGACTGGATAGCCCTAATGATCCAAACCCAATACATTCAGTGGGGAATATTTCTGCTTTCTTCAGTAGATTTAGAAAGGGCATATGAGGTCAGCATCCTGCACTCATCCTGTCAGAAATTCCACTGAAGCAGTGCAGTATCAGTCTCCACATAATTACATGCATCTTTTTCCTGAAACTGAGTCAGACATATTAATCCTACTTTCATGAGAAAAAGATTTTTGGAATCAGACAAGCTTTTTTTTTTTTTTTTTTTTTTTTTTTTTTTTTTTTAAAAAAAAGCCTATACGTTAGTTACTATAACAGAACACTTCTCAAATGCTTTGCTCTACTGTAAAAAGATGTAGTGTTTAGTTTTCAAACTTTTCTATTACTAGAGCTGTTTTTAAATGATTAAGGAAATGCCTGTCAACACTCTAAAAATTCAGTATTTATCTTCTGTTATAAATTCAAAGCAATAGAAGGCAATAAGCTTTTCAGGCTCACTTGGGGCAATGCACTTGGGCATATACTTTGGAAATACGCATAGACTTGCATGAATATTTAATTAAATCTTTTCCTCTATTTTTAAAAAATATCAAAACCATGAATAAATTACTGAGACACATGATACCACTGTTTAAATAGTCATAACAGGGAAATGTTTTCATCATTGTTCCAGTTACCTAGAGTATCAATCATGGACTACAGGAAAATGCAAAGAAACCACAATCATAAATAAAAACAAATGTTCTTTTTTTT